AAGACGTTCGAAATCATCTCCTTCGACAGTCGATATGGATTCCACGAGGACGAAATTAAAACGATCAGTACAAAAAATTTGAGCGTGGGACAAGTACAGAGTGCCGGAATACGATCTAGAGCCAGAAACATTAAAGCGAAAGAGAAATCTCGTTAGTTAAAAATAATTATTTCAGCACGATAAATTTAAACAACCGATCTTTTCTGCCGCCAATGAAATTTTAAAAAAAAATTGTGAAATTGTGTTTAGACCTAACAGATCACTTTGATTCAGATATCCTCTCTTTGCACATTTCTACTTCTCGGTGGTTTATATGGTATGTCATCATATATATGTTCCGTAAAAAACTGAGGCTGTCATTTACTGTCTTTTCAGAATAGTTAAGGTGGAGATTGGTAGTGATTTTCTAGTTCTTTTAGCACTATTTGATGAAAAAAGTTAGAATATAAGAGAGTAATTTTTTTGAAGTGATTCATGAGTATAATTGAAGTTGCGATGGTTCAATGAAGGACGTAGAAGGAAAATCAGACAAGGTTGTCTCATCCTTTCCATTCACTCATTATGGCATTCGAAGCTCGCAGAAGAAGTTATCTATATGTCTTTGCTCAAAGTTAAGGTAATCTTTTTGTCGTATGTATGTTTTTATATTTGATAATTTTATCATAATTGCTCATTGTTCAGAAATCATAATTATAAACGTGCAAAAGTATGGTAAAAGGCTAAAATTAAAGCAGTAAATGTAATTATGACATTTCTAAGTAATGATAATTATAGTAAAAATGTATTTACACTGAAGTCAGATGACCGGTGTATGTGTACTGCAGAAGATCGACGATATGGAATCAGGTATCGGTGTATGAAATTGGCTTCAGTAGCATCGTCATGCATCGTCAATGACAAATTATTGCAGCCATCATATTGCTCAGCAAGTTTGAAGCATTGTTTTTGCTCTAAAACATGCATAAAAAATAAATCATGATTTAATCATTTGTAATTTATTATTTCAAAACAATCAAATTGTTTGTTGTACTTGTTACTGTTACTTAAGATTTGTAAGATTAAGTTCTTTCATTTGTTTTTCAGATTCACTTAGAAATGCTACTGAAGCATCGATTATGCTCAGGTTGTCGTGCATTTTGTACAGAGGTAATTTAGTTCGGCGTATTTATTTAAAAGTTAATATCATCTGAATAATAGCTTGGATTTAGAAAACTAATTTTTGTAATTCCGTGAGTAGGCTGGAGGGATCTTATAATAAATAGTAAATAAAGATTTACGTAAATGTGGTGAAAAAGAAGATATATAAGTTTTATGCGAGAAGTTTTAAATTATCGTAATGTACTTCCATTTCGATGGATGAATATATTTGTTTTCAAATTTATATATTTGTTACATCGTTCATACTACTAAAACCATAATGAAGTAGTAATAAAAAGATTTTATTTTCATCTCCTGATCTTTGTCAATTGAAATAATCCTTTGCAGGGCGAGTTAAAAGTATGTTGTTCAACTAATGAGCAACACATAATGCATGCAGATTGTCACTATTACTTGAATCAAACATGCTGTCATTGCAATGCGTATAAAACTGCAACAACCTGTGTAATTTACTCCCCATATAAAGTAATCTTTTGTTTCCATCATTTTTATTCCTATTTCTTTGTGCATAAGCTTTTCTTTTATATTGTTATAATACTATGATTGTTTATTTGCAGAACGTTTTATTTGAAAAGCTCGATGCTATTTACCCGTTGATGATACAGGGAATACAGTTAAATCTTTGTAAGTTCTTTTTTTTTGTTGAAAAATAGCAGCAATTTCTTCGATTAGTTTTTTTCTCTACATTTAAGCTTTTGTGTTTTTCTATGACGGGTGAATTGTTTTGAAAAATTTTTTGTCATAGATTTTTTTCTAAATCCATATAATATTTTAAAGTTTTAGTATGCTTATGTGATAAGGAAGCTTATGAATGGCTGTTAAAACAATTGGATGCACTCTATTTCTCTCAAAATAGCATTTCGGTTGCAGATAAATCTTGTTATGACAGAAGTAAATTAATTTTACATGAGCTATGGGAAATCTGTCAATCAGGTACACGTACTCTGTTTTTTTATGAGTATTGATTTTTAAATTCATCTGGAGATTGCCTCTAGATGGAAAAAAGATAAATATTTCACTCCTTTTATTTTTAGGTAGTTTTTCTGATGATCAACGTCATTTTTTTCTGGACAGTGTCAAGTTTTCAGTTCAGTCTCATGACCAACTTTCTCTCTTAATTATTCTACAAGTACTTTTTGCTTTAATAACATTCACTGAGTATTATAAAGATGACTCTCTTGTTCTCCTGCCTTTGCAGGGCTTACCTATTTGATTATAATCTTTAACAAAACCAATGTTTTTGAAACCAAGTCAGATTTGCAGAATAGACTATATTCTACGGCTGCTTACTCTTATTTTGCATTTAGTTCCTTGATGTACCTCTTCATGGTGAATATCTTCTTCTAGCCGTTGAAGCAGATAATGCATTTTCTGTTAGAATACTTCTTCATCATGGTGCACCAATTATTTTCCAAGTAAGCGCTCGTGTTTTCTTTGTCTTAGGTACATCTGCATGTTTGTAAAAACTGTATACAACAAATTTCAGTCTAAATCAGATGAGATAGTAGATGTGTTCAGTGTAGCAGTTACAAAAGGCAGTTATAACGCAGCAGAAGAAATTCTAAAATATGTCAACTATAGCTGCACTCAAATGGTTTGATTTTGCTGAGTGAAATAATGTGGAGGAAGTTTTTTTTGTTCCAACTATCACAGTTTGTTTACTTATTTTATTTTCATTAGTCCTTACATTAATATTGTATGCTCTGAAAAAATGGAGATACTGGATGAAGAAAGTGAACTTATTGATGAAGTCTTGTAGCAGAGATTCATAAACGGTCGCTTGCTGGAATTCATTGATAACATTTCCTATCAAGTACTGGACGTTTTGCTTGCGTATGGCACTAATATTTACGAACGTAATAAAAAAGGAGAAACGATTTTTCATAAATTGGCTGATCATCGTGATGAGAAATATGCAGTTACAGTAGCAAGTAAATTGTTCGAAAATAGAGAAGTTGTATCGTCATTTATAAATGCTGGTGATAATCTCAATCGAACTGCCTTACAAATAGCTTGTGAAAATAGCCGCTGGGAATTAGTTATGTAAGTTACTTTTTTTGACATATTCAGTTAACCGTTAGTAATGAAGTTCCAAATTTTTTGATCTAAAATTAATTCATATAAATTTATTTTTCAAAATTGGTTTATGTTGTTTTATTATGTGGTATTGTCTACAAAATTAAGCGATATAAATCTTGCCGAAAAACCATATTTCTACAAAACATGCATGTATGCAATTTTTACAAGTAAAAATCAAAATATATTTTGCTCTTACTTCATTTATTTCTAACCAGTTCTTTCTGATTCACTGTTTTTCCCTCTAGCATTCTATAAAAATAGATTTTTACTTGGCAGTTTTAATATTTATTGCTTATTGAGAGAATAATAAAACAAACTAGAAATTAAATAATAAAACAAACGAGAAAATCTAATTGATATTTATATTTTTAAAGAAATGTATCGTATTTTGCACACATTTTCTTTACCTCTCCATGTTTGTTAACGTGTGTTTGATTACTTATTAATTTCGAAAGATTAATGCACACCAAAATTTTAGCGTAAGATAACCTTCAAAAGCATGGTTTTGCATGCTGGCACTTAATTTTTCAACGTTTTTGTTTATATTGTTGAAGTTCACTTTCAAAAGATGCTTCTCCGTTACTAAAAACGATTCAAGTAAAGTAGTATTAAAAAAATTGAAGTGCTGTTTTCTTCTTTCAAGAATACAACTCGATTATTTATTTAATATTTCTCGCATCTGTTTTCATCTGTTATGAGTGGATATATCAAAAGTTATTTGTTGTTAAAAAATATCACATATATCATATTTGACTGCCAAAATTTCGCATACCACTTCATTGTGATTGAAATTTTTAGCTAATGGTTCGAATTTTAGAGTTACATGAATAGGTTTTTTCAATTTCCTCTCACCTGCAAATTGGTTGATTTTACATGGCTAAAAAACAGATATTTTGTTAGTTTTAAACACGTCAATATTTGCAATTCTTGATACTTGGTTTGTTAAAATTTTTCACATATCAGAGTTGATGATTTTTTCATTATTGAAGCTGCAAAGTGAACACTGACTTGTGTGTAGTATGAAAGCATTATTTTATATTCATAATAGATATCTACATAAATTATCAAATAGATGTTAAGACCTGGAATGTAATTTGATCTCATTTGTAGTTAAACACTAAGAAGACTGTCACATTAATTACTTTATAATATTCAGGACTTGAAATTGTTCATTATTTACGAAAGTATTTTTATGTGTTATGCTCGAAATGATCAAAAAGAACTTAATTTTGTGTCTAAGAAATAATTATTAGCATAGGGGATGCATAGATAACCTTTTATAGTGAGAATCATTTAGTTTGCAATTTTTTTTTTGTGTTAGAAAAATTTCTGGTTTTATTTTATTTCTTTAAATTTGTTGTTTAAAATTTAACAACTTGAAAATTGCGCATGTTCTCCCAATTCGTAGTATGTCTTACTGCATACAGTACTGTGTCAACATATTTTGCGCTTTACGCCCAGTATGCTTTTTTTGCCAGTTTAATTGATTGATAAAATAACATCTAATTTAAATGAGCATATTTTAGTTCATAGATAATGAATGTTTAAGGTTTCTTGTGAAACATGGCGCAAAACCGAGAGGTTTGTCTGTTTCTGTACAATTACCAGAATTTATAAGTCTTTGTATGCAACGTTTGGAAAGAAGTATGGAAATTAAGAATTCCTTATTGCTCTCATCCAAATATGTAATAGAGTGAGAATTTTGTATTTATTATTTAGAAATTTTGAGGAAGCTTTTTATCATGAGGACGAAAAATAAATTTTTCAATTTTTCAAATATAATTTGAGTTTATAGTTTGGTAACATAGATATAATTCTGCATAGTCACTCGAATGTCATACTTGGATTGTTTCAAAATCAGTTAATATTTGATTCCTGTAATTATAAGTTAGTTTGTGATTAAATATTTGTAGAGATATAACAATGGGTCATGAATGTGTTGTGATACCGCTGGAAAATGGTACTAATGATGGAGCGACGTTGAGTCCAGATTTTGAATATTTAAGTGTCATTACTGATGTTAATTTCTTCCGCACTCATGTGGACTTTTCTCTCGTTTGTTTTATTTTACAAATAAATATCTACGATACTCATGAAAAGTAATTAAAAAATACATTAACTTAATAAAAATTTATGATGATTAAATTTTTTGAAAATTCTCCATAAAACTTGTTAGTTGCATAAATTTTAGGTATCGTAGTTTTTGTTTCCGAAAATCTACCATTTTTGATCAGTTCTAAAAATAAATCACTATTTTATGTTAAAAATTTGGAAAAATTTATATATTTCTGTCAGGTGTGCCACTGCACTAATGATTGTAAAGAAGACTGTCCCTGTAATTCTCGCTGTGTATATGACTCAAATGGCCGACTCACTGATGAAACAATTGATTTAGCGATTAAAGGAGCATTAGGCACTGTATTGGAGTGCAGCACATGCTGTTTCTGTTCAATTAATTGCAGGTCAAGAGTAGCTCAAAAACGTATTCGTTGTCGATTACAGGTATATATAAAAAACCTTGATGATATCATGACGTTTATATCGCTTTATCACTAAATAACCTGACAAAATTTCAAGAAATTTTGAAATTTTTAGATCTATCGTTCAATAAAATATGGATGGGCTGTAAGAGCTGTTTCTTTTATTCACAAAGGTAAGTTTATTTTTTTTAAAATCTCCTCATAACTACACACGTATCTTATTTCCAGTATTTATAACAATTGCAGGAAGTTTCATATGTGAGTATACTGGCGAGCTTATTTCAACGTCTGAAGCAGATGATCGTACAGACGACGATTATCTATTTGAAACCGTGGTATACAATAAATTTTTCATTTAGCTTAGGACCTATCTCATTTTGACTATTTTTCAAATTTTACATATGTGTTCTTTTCATTCTTTTTATTGCTCAGAAGGTTTAAAGATTTCTAAATTTTAAAATACAAATTACAAATGTATAAAATTACTGCTTTATTATTCCGAAATCGGTGAGATAATACTAAACAATTATAGGATTGAATCATACAAACCATTACTATTAACATCTGTTTAAGCGATACTTGATCTATTAATTCTGTTATGTAGTCATATTTTTAGGACTCATTATCTACACGTTGTATTGATGCAAAATTCAAGGGGAGCGTGTCTAGATTCATTAATCATAGCTGCGATGCAAATGTAGTAGTTCTTCGAGTTGTATGGGATGCACACACTTGTCATTTACCACATATTTGTTTTTATGCAAAAAGAGATGTGCAAGAGGTAGGAATTTCTTATTTAATACACTTTCTCAGTAAATTAGTTTTTTAAAACGTGCATTTTGCATCACTTAAGGGAGAAGAATTAACTATTGATTATGGAAGTCAGTGGTGGAAAGTCAAATTGAAAAAATTCGCTTGCAAATGTGAATCGGAAAACTGTAACTATACAGACGCGATTCGAGAGAAATTTTTGGAATCACAAGAGAATGAGAAGTCTTCCAGTTCAGTAGAACAAAAAAAAATGTCTTCCTAAAAAATATATATGCTCGGTACTTGAATTCACTGGTCTTAATTGCATTTCAAACAGGAACTAGTCCACATTTCCAGCAAAACTTTTCTACTGCTTCTCATGACATCTCCAATTATTTAAACGTGATACATTACCCCATGCATGTGTCGTCATGTGATTTAACTGAAGCATGCTTGTCTCGTAACTACTTAGTCTACGCCATATTTTATATACTAGACAGGCTGTACACGCAAATATAACCTTGAGCATTTTAAAGTCTACCTGATCAAAGACACTGTGTATTCCCGAATGCTACCTAGTCACGTTTGCTACTTCATATGAAGTAATCAAGGCGATAAGATTCACTTGGTCACTTATAATTTTACTCCCCAGTAGTGTTTACCAAATTGCTGCCACCTCATTTAAAAAGCTGACATCTGCTTTTTCATTATATCATATGCATCTCCCATCTTTCATTGTTTTCCAAACTCAGATAAAAATAAATTTAAAAATCCTGGAAACCAAATGCACAGTATACTGCTCTATAACAATTCAAATTTTTATTCTGTACTTGTTAAAACGTGCAAAGATTCATCCTTCGCTCCTAACATGGTAGGCCTTCACACCATTGCAAGTCATAAACTGTATGACATAGAGTAACTAAACATAAAAATGAAAACAATGAACAATCAACAATGAAGAATTTCGTAAAACAAAAAATCAAACTAGGGTGTTGCCTTTCCGTTTGAGATCGTGGAATTGAGTCTCACCGAAAACCCATGAGAAATTCTTGAAATTTCCATGTACTCTGCGACTTGAAGGATTGTAGTGCTCGCCGTAACACCACAAAAAAAAGCTTCAAATCCAGGTCTTGGGCACTGAATTACAAATCAGACACACTGGCAAATTTAGTTGTTGGATCAGCTGCAACATTCCACAGGAGAAAATTATGTTACTTCTTCACCCGTCGCATGCATCCTTGAAACAATCAACGAATTCAGTTGTTGCAACTTTGCTTTCTTCTCGATACTGTTACGGGAACCACTACAATAATCGCAAGTACTAGCTTTCCAATTTTCCGGAAAGAAAATTTTTATTGGAGGTATAAAAGAATGGAGATTACATAAAGATCATGGCTAAAAAATGAAATTTAGTTCTTTTTTCTGGATGGTGTCAATAGATTAAGAAAAAAGTATTTGAGATAAGGTTTTTTATGAACAATAATATTCATGAGTATAAGAAACTGGTGGCAAACTAGTGCTACGGTAGGTTATTCGAGGATTCATCCAATTTGGATTTTGTGGGTACTCCTCAACGTAATTAAAGTGCGCAGGATATGGATGCAATGGAGCTACTGCAGGCTGTGCGACTCGATACGAAATTATGTGCTGCTGCTGTTCATAATGGCTTTGCCTTATATGCTGCTGTTGATGTACATTATTTTTTGGAGTAAGAGTACAGACGCACACGCTTTTACCACGAATGATAAAATCACGTATTTGGCATAGACGCTTCGCCACACTGTGATCATTAATCGTGACAAACGCAAAACCACGATGTGGCATAGGGATAGAAACTCGCTCTACCTGGAAATAAAAATTAAAGACACTATGAACCAGTCAATTAACTTTTAAATGCATAAACATAAAAAGTAAGGTATTAGATTCAAGATGTTAATTTTGTCCTTCATATTTCCATCAAAATAGTACCCATAACATATAACAAAGTTTTCAAACAATGTGTTTACACATGCTAAGAATTTTCATATATATCACTTTTCACCGAACTCCTGATTCATATTAGCGAATTAACACTTGGAGAAATTTAAATGCGAAATACTTGCATTGGCATATGGAGAAATTTTTCGGGCTTCAGTATTGAGTGCATCGAATATATCTTTTTCTGTAATTGCATTCCATACACGTCCCACGTACAACTTGGTCGATGCCGAATCCTGCGTCATATTCATCCCAATATTTGTTTTTTGAGGCTTATTGGCGAAGTGATTTGGAAACTTCACCTAAAATTTCAATTTCTGCATAAACCATCTAATCAAGGGCTAGAATTAATGAATAAAATGAGACCTGCTATATTACACATGATGCATAACCATCTCTCGCATTATATACATATTTGCGACGTAACAAAAAAAATAATATAAATGAAACAGCCATACTCTGATCCTTTAACAAAAGAGACGATATTTACAAGGAAATCTCTTGCCTTATCCTGACAACGAAAATTTTCAAACTTGAGCAGAAGTACCACTAGCCTGTGTCATTCTTCCATCGATAATAACTTCTCTATCAAGAAGAACCCTGTCCTGCGCCTCAATACTGACGAACTTAACAAAACCATAACCTTTCGGGAAGTTAGTTTTGAAATCGCGTTTGACCTATGAAAATTACGGAAAACGGAATTCATCATCATAAGCAGCAAGGAAACACAATTTCGCAGACATAATGATAAACATTTCTGAACGGATATGTAAAAAAAAAGATCAGAACATACCTCAACATATTGAACTTCACCATATTTCTCAAAAATATTTTTGAGTGTTTCTTCAGTTGTTTTGAAAGAGAGATTAAGCACGATTAGATCAACAGGTACACGACAATCTTCATTCAGACTACCATCTAAACCAGATCGTTTTTCTTCTACTAAATCTCCCACACAATCGTTTGATGGTCGCTTTCGATCACTAGAACCTGAAACAAATGTGCTTAAAATACAACTAACGCATGACTTTTGCTAACATTTGCTGACTCTTCATATACATAAAAATATAAATGTCTTTTTGCAGAAAAAGCTGAATTCAAAATGCATCAAAAAATTCACACCCTGCCAGATATATTGTTCTAGGTGTCCCCATGCTATTATGGGACATAATCAAATTCACCAGATACTTGTCTTAACAAACATAAGTAAACAACAATTTTCCCCATAATTTATTTCTACTGGCAAGAATGCTATATTAACAAGAATAATTCTGGCAAGTAAGGTTTAATATGTCTCATAAAGTTCCTCAATTTAAATACTCTTCTAATTTGCAAAAGTAAAGCTTACTGATCGAGAATATTGCCACAAAGCGTCGCTTTCCCCAGCCTCCTCTTGGAGGATATATACAACGTTTCTGATCATCAACTCTATAAATACAAACAACCTTATGAGGTTTAGTGAAAAGTCCCCGTTCCAGTTTTGTATTCACTGAAAAAAGATATAAAGTATACGCTAAAGTTCGATAGACTCCAGTTAAAGGATTCTTGAACTTCAAACCAATGGCATCAGGAAAAGAATGTGCAAGAGTAGCAATAGGCAGATTGCCATCGTCATCCAGCGGAATCTCTAGCATATTGCAACCAGCTTCGCTGGAAGTTACAATTATGTATCCATCAAAATCACCCACTGAAAAGCTGATTTTACGAAAGGCAATTAATCAATTTCGCATAGCTAAGATGACTTATGATTAACAATATTTGGATTTACTTCACTCAAAATGTTTCAACTCAATCTTAAAATAGCAAATTTTGAAACACAAACTGAAAACTACAGTATATCGATTCCTGATAAAGCAAAATCAAAAATGTATAATCATAAAAGAGTGAGAAAATTAAAAAAAAACTTTGCGTCACCCACAAGTAGGGCTGTTCTGAATACATGGGACATCAGTAGAGTGATTTGATGCTTCTGGTGTCATCTGATCAATAATTTTGGGCTCCTCCAGCATCTTATTTTCACTGTAAAAACAAGTAATAAATATCTACAAAAATAGTGACATTCACTATCAACTTTGTCGAAATAATCGCAGTTTAGAAATTAAAAAGAAAATATGCAAATGACAAAACGCATGTAAGCCCACAAAAAAAAATCTACGACAGAAGATCAAAAGTAACGAGATTTATAATACTATATATATTGCTCGGCTCTGCCGAATTTCCGAGCGGTTTTCGATCGCATCACGAAGTAAGAAAGCAAAAAATAGAGGAGAAACGAGAAAAGCGAAGCCTGGAATCATAAATGAAAACAAATGCAAAACAGGTGAGGTTGTTGAAGAACGCTCCATGAAGGTCGTTCGTGCGAAAGCACTCGGCCAGTATATCAGAACCATAAGAACTAAGTGCCGGTCCAGTAGAGCAAGAGTGCCGGAACACGGTTCAACGCGAGGATCAAG